TAATAATAATAATAATAATAATAATTTTGATAAATAATAATAACGTACCGTAAAACTCTTACTAAAACTGAAAAACTGTTTGTGCTTTTCTTTGTCTTGACTACAGTAAAACTTGTGTTAATACTTACTTATATATACTTATATATATATATATATATATACTCCTCCTGTGTTTCAGCTGTTTGCCTCGTCGTTCCCCCTGGCCCCACTGTTGGCTCTCGTGATCTGCTATGTGGATATCCGCGTAGACGCTAAGCGGATGTTGTGGTGGTACCGGAGACCTATCGCCTTTGTGGCCGAAGACATAGGTAGGACGGGTGATCTTTGTTTAACATACGTGGTACAGTCAAAACTGGGGGTGGTTGGTGGGTGCTCTGGTGTGGTTTGCTTCTTATTTCCTGTCAAACATCTATCGTCCTGATCTCTGCTCCTTCTTTTTGTGTTTGTTACTCTCTTGTAACACCTCTTGTCTTCGGCACTTATATGACCTTATGACAATGACAATGACAATTTTTATCAAATTATTCATCACGCAGGAAGAAATTTGTCTTGGTCGTTTATAATGGCAGTAGACGTTACAAAGGTTAGGTGCACTCACGCATACGCACAACAAGACAGGATATTAGTAAATACATGTCTCACGTACTGAAACAACCCGCTCCGTGAAATATTCTCTCTCTCTCTCTCTCTCTCTCTCTCTCTCTCTCCCTCTCTCTCTCCCTCTCTCTCTCCCTCTCTCTCCCCCTCTCTCTCTCTCTCTCTCTCTCTCTCTCTCTCTCTCTCTCTCTCTCCCATGTGTAGCACTGTGTGTTCAGTAATTCACTGCAGTTGGTACGAATGAATTTCTATATCATACTACTACATGTATTTTCTTGCTTTTTTGGAAATGTATCGTTTACTGCGGGTCGATAATTGAAATTCCGATGTCAGTGGGTGGCTATGGTCACTAAGCATTATTTCCGCCTTTTTTAGAACGATTGTCTTGAGCAGATATTCAAAGTTACTTAGGTCTCTACCAATTGTTCTTGATGCTTTTCTGATCAACTTGTTTATTTAACTTTTTTTTATATACTTGGTAGGTTGTAATGGAGAAAAGTGGTTGCCTAGAACAGATTGATGATGAGATTATGTCTTGTGTGTATTGTGTGTGGTTTATTCCTGTCCCTTTTCTCCCACCCCTCCCCTCCCCGCCTCCTCCCTTTCTCTGCCCCCCCCCCCCCCCCCCCCCAGGTATGTGGCACGACATCTTGAACCTTGTCAACTTCATCGGCGTGATCACCAACGCCTTCATCATCGCCTTCACCTCCAACTGGGGCAGCCAGTTTGACACCGCCGGAAAGTTGTGGGTCGTGGTGGGCTTTGAGGTGAGAGTGGGCAACATTTGTGAGGCCAGCTGACAAAATGAGTTACTTCTCGCTATCCACAAATGAAAA